AGCAGCTTTCCTGCTCCTCTGATGCTGCTTGGCCTGCTGTGTTCATCCAGCTCTACACTGTGTTATCTCAGATTCTCCAGCATCGGCAGTTCCTACTATCATAGTACATCCTGTTCTCTTGTTGGCTCCAAAATATGCTGTTCTAAAAAAAACTATCCTGAAAACATTCTATGAACGCCTCATCTAGGTTACTTTTGCCCATCTGACTTTTCCAGTCCATATACATCCCCAAGATTATTGCTATGCCTTTTCAACAAGCTCTTAACATTTCTTCCTTTATAGTGGTTACTATTAGCCTACACACCACTCTCACAAATGATTTTTTGGTTTATTATTTCTCATTTCTATCCAAATTTGGTTTCCTGCATTTGGGGCATCCCTACTGTGGTAATAATACAATTAACTAACAACCACCCACCACCTTTTCCTGCTTTTCTGTAATTCCTAGATGTCCTGAACCCTTCAAAATTTATGTTATCCTGCCACCATATCTCTGAAGTGGCTACCAGATTGTACTTATTTCTATTTGCACTCAGTCTATCTGTTTGGTTTCAAATGCTACGTACATTCAGATACAAAGCCTTTAGCTTTATTCCTTCACTATCATTACACTAATTGAGTCCTATGTTTGTTAGCTCTAAAGATTGTGCTCTCTATCCCTTCTGTCACAGTCAGTCAATCAAATGCTGCCTCGATGTCAAAGGTAATCACTTTCCCTTTGCCTCCATCTTGGCTCTTTTGCTTACGTTTGGACCAAGAATGAATCATGGTCTGGAGCAAAGTGATCCTGACAGAGTCTAAAATGATCAATAATCATGTTATTTTTAAACTGATGCCACTGGGAGATGTAGTAATTGAGTGGATTTTTTTTTTACAGCTTGTTTTGGGCAGCACTAAACTGAATTTTCCACATTGTCAGGTAGACGCCAGTATTGTAGTTGTACTGAAACAGACTGGTTAGAAGCATGGCAAATTCTGACACGTTTTCAGTTCAATGGTCAGTTCCTGTCAGAGTTAGTATTGTGTGCTGTGTCCAATGCCTTCAGCCATTTCTTAATATCAGGTGGCTTGAATCAAATTGAGTGAAAAGTGACATCCATGACACACAGGACACCAGGAGGAGACAGAGAAACATCAAGTATTCAGTATCTCTGGCAGAAGACTGTTGTATATGCTTCAGCCTTCACACTGATGTGCTGGCTCCACAAGCATTGAGAATAAGGATATTTCCAGTTCCATCTCCTTCAGGTAGCTTTTAATTATCTATCATTGTTTGGCATGGATGTAAGCACTGAGAGATAGCGGCAGCAGGCAGATACCTCATTTACATATGCCTGGTGCTGCTTTTGGCAGCTCACTTGCACCCCTCATTGGGCTATAGTTGATCCTGGTTTGACAACAATGGTAGAGGAAGAGATTACAGATTATGGTGAATACAGTTCTGGGGCAGATGGTCCACAATGCTTCATCAATACTCAGTTTTGAGTGATGAACCTGTTCCAAAGACATCCTATTTACTAAATAATTAGTGCAGAAGATGCTGGAAGGTTCTTTGTGTAAAGACAAGATTGTGTATCTATTCATATTATAGATTTTTTTTTAAAAACATTTCGTGGGATCTGGGCATCGCTGGAAAGGCCAGCATTTGTTGACCATTAGTAATTGCTCTTGAACTAAGCGGCTTGCGAGGCAATTTCAGGAGGGCAGTTCAACCATATGGCTGTGGGCATGGAGATACATTTCGGCCAAACCAGGGAAGGAAGGCAGATCTTCCCTTCCTTCAAAGGGCATTAGTAAACCAGACTTCGCTTTTTACACCGATCATTGATAGTTGTCAAGCCATTACTGAAACCAGTGATACGTTTCACAGCTTTAGATTCAACCGCTAAACTAGAATTTGAACTCATGACCCCAAACCAATACTGGGTCTCTGCATTATTAGACAGTAACATGACCACTATGACACCATCTCACCTCAAGAGACCCCAGTATGAGGTTAGAGGAATCACCCACTCGGCACTTCTGGCTGAATTTGGTTGCAAATGTTTCAGGTTGGTCTTTTGCTCTGATGTTCTTTACTCTCCCACCATTGAGGATTGGGATATTTGCGGAGCCTATCCCTCCTGCTAGCTGTTTATTGCTACCACCATTCACGTTTGGATGTGGCAGAACTGAAGGAATTTATCCTGATCCATTGACCGTGAAATTACTTAGCACTGCGATCACAAGCTTTTTGTCATTCATAAAAACGTGAACATAGAAGAAATGATGAGTAAGTTGGTGGCGTAACGGACAGTGAATAGATTTATCTCGGCGTACAACAGGACCTTGGATCAGATGGACCAAGGAATGGCAGAATGAGTTTAATTTAGATAAATGTGAGGGGTTGTATTTTGGTAAGGCAAATCAGGGCAGGACTTATACAGGTAATGGTATGGGCCTGTGGAGTGTTGCTGAACAAAAAGACCTTAGGGTGCAGGTTCATAGTTCTTTGAAGGTGCAGTCGCAAGTAGACAGGTAGTGAAAAAGGCATTTGGTACTCTTGCCTTTATTGATCAGTGCATTGAGTATAGGACTTGGGAGGGGCTCATGTTGTAGCTGTACTGGACATTGGTTAAGCCACTTTTGGAACACTGCGTTTAATTCTGGTCTCCCTGATGTAGGAAATATGTTGTTAATCTTGAAAGGGTGCAGAAAAGATTTACAAGAATATTGCCAGGATTGGAGGGTTTGAGCTATAATCATGGGCTGAGTAAGTTGGGGCTACTTTCCCTGGAGCATTAGAAGCTGAGGGGGTGACTTTACAGAGGTTTACAAAATCATAAGAGGCATTACTAAGGTGAATAGCTAAGGTCTTTTTCCCAAGGTAGGGGAGTAAAAAACTTGAGGGCATAGGTTTAAGGTGAGAGGGGAAACGATATAAAGGGGCAATTTTTTCACGCAGCGGGTGGTGTGTGTATGGAACGAGTTACCAGACAAAGTGATGAAGGCAGGTACAATTACAACATTTAAGAGGCATCTAGATGGGTACATGAATAGAAAGGGTTTAGAAGGATGTGGACCAAATGCTAGCAAATAGGACTAGATTAATTTAACATATCCTGTCGGTATGGACGATTTGGACCAAAGGGTCCGTTTCTGTTCTGTACAACTGTATTATTCTATGACAAGCAGCTTCCACTATTTTATTTAGAAGTAGTCCTAACTTGTACCTTCACAAGGTTGACACCTCATTTTCAGATACCCAAAGATTTTGTACACAATGTTGATGTGTAATCACATTCATTTGAAACATATATAATGCTGTTTTTTTCTGCACCCGGTATTCATTACAGTAAAATTGAATAAAGCTGAAATAAGTTTGTTCATTCTAACAAAATGTATGGATTACAGCAATATATCTTACAAAAATCAATTATAAAACTAGCATTAAGATGAGTACAAAGTAAGCAAAAAGTAATTAAAGGTAATAGGTTAAGACTCAAGCCTAAATTTGAGCAAATAGCCATGGTTTGGTACTACATCACCACCTTGTGGAAGAGGCTATATGGACAAACTACCCACCACTATTTTCCAATGTGCACTGGGGACTATCAAAGTAGCTTGCTGTTGGCATTCATTCAGAGAAGTAGCTCGAAAAGAAAACTCACCACTGACATTTTCACTTAAAATAAGATGAAAGAGCTGAGCAAAAGCATCAACATCTTTGTGCAGCCAAATATCTGATAGGCAGGCATCCATTTCTTTTATAAGCCAAGGCTCAAGAGAATTGAAATCCTTTTCATTCTGTAAAATATTAAAAAATAGAAAATTGAGAATATAATTACAAAACCACATCCATACATCCGGAGCAATATTTCAAATATTGAACAATCTTTATCTTTCAGATTCCACAGATTAATCAGTTAATTGTAGTTGGCTGAATTTCCCTTCATACATCTCCCTCTGGCCCTAGCTCATCTGTAGTAACCTTACCCAATGCATAAACAGCTCAATTAGCTGGACAGCCAGTTCACAATGCAGAGTGGCACCAGCAGTGTGGGTTCAATTCCTGTGTCAGCTGAGGTTACTATGAAGGACTCATCTTCTTACCTCTCCCCTCATTGAGGTGTGGTGACCCTCAGGTTAATCTACCAGCAGTTGTCTCTCTCTCTCTCTCTCTCTCACACATTAGAGAGCAGTCCTATGGTCTGATAGGACTCTGGTGATTTTACCTTTTTCATCCTAAATTGTTGTTTCTAGAAGTTTCCCCACCAGGAACAATAAAATAACTGGTCTGTAATTACTGGGACTATTGTTACAACCTTTTTGAACATGGGTGTAATGTTTACAATCGTCCAGTCTTTTGACACCACCTCCCAATCTAGGGAAAGATTATTGCCAGTGCCTCTGCAATTTGCACTCTCACTTCCATCAGTATCTTTGGATGCATCTCAACTGGTCCTGCTGCCTTTCAATGTTTCAATAGAGACAGTTTATCTAACATTCATTCCTTCCAAATCATTCCAGTGACTGACTTTCTTCCTTTGTCACCACACCTTGGGCACAGCTACCTTGCAGGCATAGGGAGATGCAAAGTATTCAACTTGACACCTCAGCCATACCTCCGATTTCCACATACAATCCCCCTTTTTGGTTCCTGTTTAGCCCTCCTTTCACTTCTACCACCCAGTTACTACTAGTGTACTAATAAAAGACAATTATTTCCCTTTATGTCAGGTGTCAGTCTTGTGATAATCTCCTTTCTTTTCTTCTCATTTTCTTTTTCACCTCCATCTGAAACTTACGTATTCAGCTTGGTTAGAACAAAGAACAAAGAACAATACAGCACAGGAACAGGACCTTCGGCCCTCCAAGTCTGCGCTGGCACATTTTGCCCTTCCATGCTAAAACGGTCTTCACTTACAGGATTCGTATCCCTCTATTCCCTTCCTATTCATGAATTCGTCCAGGTGCTTCTTGAATGCTGCTATTGTGTCTGTTTCCATCACCACCTCTGGCGATACATTCCAGGCACTTGCCACCCTATGCGTGAAAAACTTGCTTCGCACATTTCTTTTAAACTTCCCCCTTGCACCTTGAACCTGTGTCCCCTAGTAAATTGACCTCTCCATCTTGGGAAAAAGCCTCATACTTTCCACTCTATCTAGGTCATTCACAATCTTATAAACTTCTATCAGGTCGCCCCTCAACCTCCTGTATTCCAGTGAAAACAAACCCAGACTATCCAACCTTTCTTCACAGCTAAAATCCCCCAAAACCAGGCAACATCCTGGTAAACCTTTTGTGTACCTTCTCCAAAGCATTCACATCATTCTGGTAATGTGCTGACCAGAAGTGTACAAAATATTCCAACTGTGGCTTAACTAAAGTTCTATAAAGCTGCAGCATAATGTGTCTATCCTTATACTCAATGCTGGTTCCAATGAAGGCAAACATGCCATAAGCCTTTTTGAAGTACCTTACTAACCTGCGCTGTCACCTTCAGTGAGCTGTGGACCTGCACACCCAGATCTCTCGGCATACCAATAATTCTAAGGGTTCTGCCATTCACTGTATAATTTCCACCTGTACCTGACCTTATAAAATACATCACCTCAAATTTATCCAGATTAAACTCCATCTGCCATTTTTCTGCCCGTGCCTCCAACTGATCTATATTCTGCTGTATCCTCTGACATCCTCCTCACTATCCGCAACTCCACCAATCTTTGTATTGTCCACAAACTTACTAATTAGACCAGCTACATTTTCCCCCAAATCATTCATGTAGAACATGAACAGCAGAGGTCCCAGCACTGATCCCTGTGGAATTCCACTAGTCACAACCCTCCATTCCAAAAAGCATCCTTCTACTGCTACCCTCTGTCTCCTATGACTAAGCCAGTTCTGTATCAGTCTTGCCAACTCACTCGTGATACCATGTGATTCACCTTTTGTACCAGTCTACCATGAGGAACCCTGTCAAAGGCTTTACTGAAGTCCATGAAGTCAACATCAACCACTTTTCCCTCATTAATCATCTTTGGCATCTCCTCAAAAAACTCAATCAAGTTACTGAGACACAACCTATCCTGCATAAAACCATGCTATTGCTAATAAGTCCATTGACTTCTAATGGAGTATAGATCTTGTCCCGGAAAATCTTTTCTAATAACTTTCCAACCACCGATGTGAGACTCATAGGCCTGTAATTTCCAGGATTATCCCTATTGCCTTTCTTAAACAGTGGGACAACACTGGCTATTCTCCAGTCCTCTGGGATCTCACCTGCGGCCAAAGAAGTTACAAAGATGTCTGTCTGTCAATGCTCCAGCAATTTGTTCTCTTGCCTCCCTCAATGTTCTGCGATAGATCCCATCAGGACACGGGGACTTGGGTACCTTAATACTTTTTAAGATGCACAATACCTCTTCCTTTTTAATAGCGATGTGGCTTAGAAACTCACATTCCCTTCCTTAAGATCATCCTCTATCAATTCCACAAATGTATTTTCTATATAATACATATCACAAGCACACTCTTCCTTTAACTTCATTTCTGTCATCTTTGTCATCCAAACAGCTCTGGAATGATTTATTCTATCTTTCTCTTTTGAGAAAATATACCGTAACAGTGCCTGAACCATCTCCTCTTTGAAGGTTGCTCACTGGTCAGCGACTGATTTTCATATCAATTTTTAGTTCCAGTCTATCTGACCCAGTTCCGTTCTTGCCTCATTGAAGTCAGCTCTCCAACAGCTGGTCATTCATACTTTGGTTTGACCAACGTCATTTTCCATCATCATCCTTACTCTAATGAAAGAACGATCACAATCCCCCAGATGTTCCCCCAACTAACTCAGGAGAGGTGACTGATGATTGGAAAATTTAAAACATTATAGTAGCCTTGCTCAAGAAAGGTTGTAAGGATAATCCCAGCAATTATAAACCAGTCAGTACAACTTCAGTAAAAAAAAATGTGAAAGAACTGCGGATACTGAAAATCAGAAACAAAAACAGAAATTGCTGGAAAAGCTCAACAGGTCCAGCAGCATTTGTGGAGAAAAATCAGGGGTAACGGTTCGGGTTGAGTAACCCTTCCTCAGAATTGAGGAAGTGTGTGTGTGTGTGTGTGTGTGTGTAACTTTTGTGATGGGAGCATTTCAGAAACAGTTATTGGGATGGAATTATTAGTCACGTGGACAAAGGTGGGTTGATTAGCAAGAGTCAGCATAGATTTCTAAAGGGGAAATCATATTTAACTAGCTTAGAGTCTTTTGAATGGGTAACAGAAAGGCTTGACAAGGGTAATGCTCTCACAGTTGGTATTCGTGGATTTCCGTAAGACCTCACAGTGCCACATAAAAGGATTGTGAAGGAAGTCACATATCATAGTGGAAGTGAGACAGTACCAATGTAGATACAAAATTGGCTGAGTGATAAGAAACAAGAGTAACGGATATTTTTTGGGCTGGATGAAGGTTTGTGGAGTACCCCAGGGGACCGTATTGGGATATTTGCTTTTCCTGATATGTAGCAACGATCTGGATCTTGGTGTGAAGGGGACAATTTCAAAGTTTACAGATGACACTTAAGTTGAAAGAACTGTAAACTATGAAGAGGCTAGTGTGGAAATTCAGAAGACATTGACAAGTTGATGAAGTGGATAGACAGTAGCCAGACGAGGTTCAACGCAGAGAAATTCGAGGTGAGAAGTGTGATGCACTTTAGTCGGAAGAACGCTGAATGGCAATATAAAATAAGGAGTACAATTCTAAAGGGGGTGCAGGAGCAGATGAATCTGGATGCAATTGTCCATAGACCTTGAAGGTAGAACTACAAGTGGACAGCAGTTAAAGCATACGTGTCCTCAGCTTCACTAATAGGGGCACAGAGCACAAGTGCAAGTAAGTGATGTTGAATTTGTAGGAGACATTTGTTAAACCTCAGCTGGAGCACTGGGTACAGTAGCGGGTGCCACAATATAGGAAAATTTGAATGAATTGGAGTAAGTGCAAAAGCAATTTGTAAGAACAGTTTTTGGAATGAAGAAACTTTAGTTAAGAGTATAGATTGAAGAGGTTGGGACCATTCTCCTTGGAGTGAAGGCAGCTAAGAGGAAATGTGATACAGATTATCAAAATCATGAGCCGGCTGATAGAATAGATATGGAGAAGCTGTTCCCACTTGTAAACGGAACAAGAACAAGAGGGCATAGATTTAAAGTGACGTGCAAAAGAGGCAAGGGTGACGTGAGAAAAAACTTTTTCATTCAGCAAGCAGTTAGGGTATGGAATGCACTGTCTGGAAGTGCGATAGAGACATGTTCAACTGAGGCATTCAAGAAGGTACTGAATTAATATATATGCAAGGGTATCAGAAAAAAAGCATGATTTTGGCACAAGGAAATGATGCCTCTTCGAAGAGCTTGTGCAGGCACAATGGGCCAAATGACCTCATTCTGTGCCAGAACAATGCTGTGATTCATGTCACTTGATCTAGTTAAACTACCTTATTCTCAAGAACCATATCGAGCAATGCATAATTTCCCAGCACTCTAAAGACCCATCACAAAGGAAATACACCTAAACACAATCGATGAATGCTTGCCCCTCACTGCTACTTAGACTACCCCCATCCCAGTTTACATATAATGAGGGACTTTAATTACTCATCTAACTATGTGGTTTACATCCTTCTGGAATTTCCTTGCAAATCTGTTCCTCTACATCTTTCCCATTAATTGGTGGTGTATAGATTGCACCAAGCAATATAATCGCACCCTTTTTATTCCTTAGCTGTGGC